CATACCCAAGGAAAGGGGTTTCCTAATGGAAAAAAATAGCTAAGTAGCTTTATCGGTTGCCTTTGGTTCAAAGTCTGAGCCACCCCAAACAGCATACAAAAGTTCCGCATTTTGTATGTAAGTTAGGTAAACTAAAGAACTTTATATTATCCTAGGCAGCTAACTACTTTTATTGCGAATTAAACACTTTGCTTAATTTTTGTCAGCGGTTTTCAGGAGAAGTTAGGGAAAGAAAAGGAATTTCCAGATGATCAAAAAATAAAGAACTGGTATATACCTCAATATCCTGGGGTGCGGCAGTTCCGTTGCTGATCCTGAGGGAGGTATTCTTGTGATAAACGAAGTAACTCTGGCTGTTGTCGAGCGTGTGCCAGTGACGGTGGGCCGTCAGCCAGCCTGGGAACTTGCACTTTCTCCGTTGTGGGTCACTGGTAAGCAAAGGCAAAAAAACATGAAATAAAGAATACCATGCACAAACATTTCAGAGCACCATGCAACACTGGCAATGGCATTCCGGACTCTACACCCAAGCCTGGTTTGAAACACAGGCCGTAATCTATGGGAAGTTAACGAGGCCCTGTCTGTCAAATGTTAACACAAGGCTGTATAACTAAACCTGGCAATAACATGCATAACAAACCCGTGTGGGTGTGGGAGGGTTAGTCCATTAAAACTTTAAAAATATGCCTTTAATATTTAGCTTTAAGATATTAATCGGAAAACAATTCTTCAAATTCGTTGCCAGTGACAATGTACAGTAGACCGTCATTTAACGCTGTAGTTACGTTCCTGAAAACACCGTGTAAGGTAAAACCGTGTTATATGAACTGAGGAACTTACGGGAAAAATAGGGTTACGTTCCAGAGAGCCTCAAAAAAGCCAAACAACTTTTTTTAGGCCTCTACATCTTACAAAAATAAAACTGAATATGTAATTGTAGTTCATTGTTATGATGTATTGTGTTGTTTTTACTGCTTAAGACTACAAATGTAACAATATTTCTTACCTTAAATTATGGGTGCTCGTTTTTGTGGATGATTGTGAAGAGAGTGGAGAGTTATGCTGTGGTCCTACTTGGCTGAGGTGGATGATAGAGGTTCTGCTACTGAAGTTGATGGTTGTACTGGAGTGTCTAACTTGAAGTCATTCAGTCAGTCAAGTCATTCAGCAAGTCAGTTATTCAATAAGTCAGTCATTCAGTAAGTCAGTCAGTCACACAAACTTATGTTTACCTCTTTTTATGTGTACAAAGTAACACTTTATTATGGCAAGAGAATGTCTTGTATAATATCTTTGTTTCCTTCGTTAATTCTAAGACTTAATTAAATGCTCACACCTTTTCTTGCCACTTTGAGCAACACTGGTATGCCTTGTGGGTGTCATGATTGCTTGGCAGATGCAAGATATAACAATTAAAAGATCAAAACAAAATTCACAATCACAAGCTTGTAGCAGAGAAGTTGGACTGGACACGTATAAAGTACGAATGCTAGGATGGTGGGGTGGTATTTGGGGGGTGGCTGGAGATGGTGGGAGGTCTTCCCCGCTGAACCACAACAAGGCGGCCTCTTGAGGAAAAGGGAAATTTTTTTTCCTTCCTGCAAACTGAACTGTGTTAAATTCATCATACGACGTGTTACATAAAATTGTGAAGCAGTTCTTTAATCGTGCTATACCCAAATCATGCCAAATAAATTTGTGCTAGATGATGGTCTACTGTATTTAACTCCCTTTAAGTGCCAGAAAATGAAAAGTAATTTGTAAACTGATTAATAATAATGAAACATAAGAAATAAGTCAGTTTACAACATTTTCTTTCCCATTTTAAATGAAAAGTAATGAACAATGTCCTCAGAAAATGACTCATTAAATCATATCTAAACAAAATCATAATTTATGTAACAGAATTATTGTTTATGAAGTTAACAAACTAATCATGTATTATTATTAATAATAAAACTGTCAACTCATCAATAATTTTCTGTGCCCTGCACAACAAAATTTATTTATGACTGGACAATAAAACTGCAAATTATCAAGTCACAAGGTCTTAAATAAGATGAAAGTGAAAAAATACAAAAAATTGAATTCTTTTACTGTTTTTTTGCAATGAAACTTATTACAATCCTGGTAGGAATAAAAACACGTTCTTAACAGAACGTTTCACCCAAGTCTAAGCAGTACAGTCTAGCCTTCAGTGAAACATATTAGAAGAATCCTCTACTACCAGTGACTATTCCCACTTGTAGGCTTTTGCCACAATCTACCCACACTGGCACCTCCTACTTTGAATATAATAAAATTTTAATTGAGCTATCATCTAAAACATTAGTCTTGAAAGTAAAGGTGGAAAAACCATACTGTGGTAAAAACTGTACATTTAAACAAATCTTTACTCAGGCTAACTTTGTCATTATGGCAGGACAAAATTCTTTAGTTATGTAACCTGGAGGTTACCTGGAGGTTATTCCGGGGATCAACGCCCCCGCGGCCCGGTCCATGACCAGGCCTCCCGATGGATCAGGGCCTGATCAACTAGGCTGTTACTGCTGGCCGCACGCAGTCCGACGTACGAGCCACAGCCCGGCTGATCCGGCACTGACTTTAGGTATCTGTCCAACTCTCTCTTGAAGGCAGCCAGGGGTTTATTGGCAATTCCCCTAATGCTTGATGGGAGGCTGTTGAACAGTCTTGGGCCCCGGACACTTATGGTGTTTTCTCTTAGTAACCATCCCACTCTTCTAAATTATAATCTCTGTTCAAAATATTATAGCAAAATACCACTTATTCAGCCTTCTGCATTCCCAAGTACACTTATTTCCACGAACTCTAGACAAACTTTAAATTTAGTTTTTATAATAATTTAATCTTCATTTCTACATAATATAACTTATGCAGAGACAGCTGACATCAATAACATACTACTATATAGAAAGGCCTTGTTTATGCAGAGCATTAGGTTTAATTTTGCCCCCAGGGTGTGACCCACACCAGGGACTTAACACCCAGGTATCAATTTACTGTTAGGTGAACAGGGACAGCAAGTGTTTTAGGGAACCACACCTAAATGTTTCCACCCATACCGGGGATCGAACCACATGTCAGCAGTGTCACTGATCACTTGTATTACTTGTGTAGTATATGTAGATAATCCCAGCTATGTAATAGTTAGCCCCCCCCCCTGACTAAATGTGTAGGCTGTGGCCAGCTGTGACATCACAAATCATGCTCATGTGAGCACCTAGCCAGAGACATACCCCCTCAGATTCCAGCTAGGTATAGACTCAACAAGGCAAGGCCCTGGGCTACCCCTCAAGACTCTCTCAATATATGTTACCAAACAACCTACTGTGTATTTCTACAACCGTCTAATATCTCTAGAACACCCACCCGACAAATGGTGTGCAGCAGTGGTCATGTGAATTTGATAATTACGCAGATGTATGGAGATTAACTTCTACCAGCCGATGGACATTGTGTGTTGACCGCATGGAGGCCTAGTCAAGCCAGCTACCACCCTCACCCACAACCGCATGCTACAACAAAGTCAGTATATCTCCAGCCTGTCAAAGCACCTTTCCTGGTCAGTTTGTGTGCCTTAATCTGCTTATTTGCTTAAATTTCCAGGATCAAATCCGGGTTTTGCAAATTCAGCCAAGCAGTTAGGCCAGTCTGTGGGGTAGAGCCCTAAGCCACCCAGCCTGCCTAAGTCCTATGTCAGCCTAGCCTGCCAATGCAGCTTCTGTGTGCATAGTTACAAGACTTCAAGCCATCCCAGCCAGTGTGGAATGCCAAAGCCAGCAAGCTGACCCAGATGAGTGAGAGAAGTAAGCCAAGAAAGTCATGTTGAGTTCATGTCTTCACCATCGTTTTGTGCTAGCAGTTCAAAGCTGTTCTGAGTGCTAGTACCATCCCTGTGGTATTCTGTGGGTTTTTAAGCCAGCCCAGCTTAAAATCACATGACCTTGTGGTGTCAAGTGCCACAGAGTGGGACGCTGTTTCCCAGCCCCCTCTTGCCACTCGCATCAAGCCACCGCCATTAACCACGTGTGGCATACTCTTCTACCCATATATGGGTCCCTAGCATGTCTTTTACGGCTCACACAGCAGGTGAAGACTCAAGAGTGCTTCTTCATCCCTGTGCACCAATGTTACAAAGCCTGCTGTGTGTAGTTCACCCAGAAAGCGCAGTTCAAGATTCTACGTGGTGTATAGTGTGAGTGATGCTGCCAGCTACGAGATAACACCACCACCTGTTGTGCTCCCAGACCTTCAAACAGTTAAAGACAATTTTTATAAAGACATTTGCGAGTGTTGAGATATTTTCTAAATCTATAGTGTTCATTGTGTTATTCAGAGACTCTTGTGTTCTCATGTAAAGCACTAGTACAACTGTCACTCCTGTCTGGAATCCAGTCCCTACAATATCTTGCATGCAGGATAGTGTACAGTTACCCCAGGTTTCAGAGGAACCTCAGACAACCTTGGGTACTGAGACTACTATCCCTGTAACGGCTACTTGTTCAAGTGGTAGTTCCTCCCCAGGGGACACCTTGTTGAAGAAAGACTATTTGCAGCGAGTTATGCCATCTCTTGCTGATGTCACAAGCCATTGCAGAGAGACGTTTCTGTGGCTAGTACACTCACTAGTGTGTTGTTGCCCCTTATTTTCCAGATGGTGATAATATCCTGGTTGACAGTAATCTTTGCAAAGTTAAGAGTTGTATATTGAGCAATCATTAAATGCTGTAAGAGATAGTACAATCCGTTCTTCCTTGCTAATATTTCTTGTCATAGCATTAACTATTTCTCCAAGTATGTTCATCCCTTCAGTAAGAAAGTACTTCTAAGTCCCTAGTAATAGGTAATCTAGTTAAGAGAGTTGTCAACTGTGTGTTTATTTTATCAGCTGATCAGTGTACAGAAATTTTTTTGTGTTCATATTCTCTCCAAATTCTGAGACTTAACAGCAAATGACCTGTGTGCACCAAGTCTGCCTTTACTGTTAAGCACTACCTGCCTTGTACATATATATATATATTCTTCCATAGAATCCATAGATCACACGAATACAGATCAATCGATCAATTCTATTCCTTGTATATATACTATAAGTGTAATGCATTACAATCGATAACATCCATTACATTCTATTACCATTCCTATGATTAGTTCTATGTCACCTGTGTATTTCTACAACCGTCTAATATCTCCGGAACACCCACCCGACACACGGACCTCCATGTGTGGCCTTTAACGCAGACGAGTTTGGATGACTAGTGAAGCTTGTGTTCTCTGACTGCCATATTTACAATGATTTTTTTTTTTGAGGTGGAACAACAGAAATAATTAAAAGCATAAATTTAGTGTTTATGCTTAATAGCATTTATAAGTTACAAAAAAAGGCTAACATTACTTAAAACTTATTAAAACCAACATATTAACATCAAAACTAGGAAACATAGAAAAAAAATGATTTTTTTTTATAGCAAATGGATTTTGGTTTAAAATTTTTTAGCCAATGCTGCAAAGCAGCATATCGAGTATGGTAGAATAAATGGTGATGAAAATTCGAAGCAAACCTCCATTAAGGCATTAAAATCTGTAGGTGAAAAAGATTCACAGAACAGTGAAATCCTTCATTAGGACAACACTGAGCTCACAAAGAGCTTATCACCTTGATGAAATGCCCCTTGAGAGAAACGTTGTAAAATAAAGGTTTTTGATTTGTTTTTGGCTTTTATTCACTTGTTGGGGGAAGTGACGATCCCAAAAGGGTTAACGTGCCTTGGGAACTGTAAGTATAAATAAGTTTGATTAAATGAAGGGGAGGGTAGCTCCAATTCCTTGAATCAAGACTTTCCCCATCATTAAGGGTCTCCATACGTAACTGAAAGCATGATCGTTACCTTTGGTGAGTTTCATAGTCTTGCTGCCCTCGTGAGCGGAGATGAGGCCTTGACAGGTAGCGTCTGCAGACTGTGCCAGGTTCCAGGTCTGGGTGTTGCCCTGGTGGTGCGGGTGCTCGTAGATAAAGCAGCGGTAGCGGTCCTCGTCGCTGTTGGCATGGATGTGGTTGACCTTACCCACCAGGTAGTGGTTGGAGCCCTCCTTCCACGACGCCAGACATACCAACTCCTCCACTAGAGGGATTAGTGAGACGAGGTTTAGGTTTCTACGTAAACACGGGTGATAGCCATGCTACACGTTAAATACTTACGTTGTGTGTTATATGGTTAGCTAAAGTGTAAAGAACACTTGTCATTGCTCAAAAATAACGCACATGGAGACAGAAATACAGAACATTAATTGGTCTTAATTGGTCTGTACATTTCGATCCCCCTCTGGGATCCTCTTCGAAATATAGAGACCAATTAATCTTCTGTGTTTCTGTCCCTATGTGGGTTATTATTGCACACACACACACACACACACACACATATATATATATATATATATAATATATATATATATATATATATATATATATATATATATATATATATATATATGCAAGACAAGCCACAAGGGGTGGAAATCTTTAGCTGAAGTACTTTCACACTTTTCAGTGTGTCAGCAAATGAAGCAGGGAAAGTTTTCTCAGAGTAGTGTAGTGCGGGTGTGTCACCGGCCGCAGCTTCTCTCAGACTGTGGGGCCAACAGTCGGTGCCAACCCCATACCACCACCATCCCCCTACGGGGCAGGAGGGTTTTTGAGATGTCAAATATTATGAAATTATAAGATGTAGCCAGCCCCTGTCTGCAGCTGTTAGCACCATACATACATATATATATATATATATATATATATAATATATATATATATATATATATATATATATATATATATATATATATATATATTATATATATATATATTTGTAACCACGGACGAGTGGTATTGACCAATAACAACATTGCGCTAGCCAAGAATTCGAACCCATGTTGTACTGGCCTGCCTCTCATGGTAAGGGAGAACCACATGACGCTTTAAACCACAGGACCACCCAACCTTACAAGAATGGCGAAGCCAGCAGAGCTAGCTGTGGGCCGCCATCCGAGGGCATACGGAGGTGTGGGAGCTTCTAAGCTAATTTCATCTCGGATGGCGGCCCACAGCAAGCTCTGCTGGCTGCGCCATTCTTGTAGGGTTGAGTGGTCCTGTGGTTTAAGCGTCATGTTCTCACTTACCATGAGGCAGGCCAGTACAACATGGGTTCGAATCCTTGGCTAGTGCAGTGTTATATATATGTAATATATATATATATATATATATATATATATATATATATATATATATATAATATATATATATATTTTTTATTATTTTTTTATTATCACACCGGCCGATTCCCACCAAGGCAGGGTGGCCCGAAAAAGAAAAACTTTCACCATCATTCACTCCATCACTGTCTTGCCAGAAGGGTGCTTTACACTACAGTTTTTTAAACTGCAACATTAACACCCTCCTTCAGAGTGCAGGCACTGTACTTCCCATCTCCAGGACTCAAGTCCGGCCTGCCGGTTTCCCTGAATCCCTTCATAAATGTTACTTTGCTCACACTCCAACAGCACGTCAAGTATTAAAAACCATTTGTCTCCATTCACTCCTATCAAACACGCTCACGCATGCCTGCTGGAAGTCCAAGCCCCTCGCACACAAAACCTCCTTTACCCCCTCCCTCCAACCCTTCCTAGGCCGACCCCTACCCCGCCTTCCTTCCACTACAGACTGATACACTCTTGAAGTCATTCTGTTTCGCTCCATTCTCTCTACATGTCCGAACCACCTCATCAACCCTTCCTCAGCCCTCTGGACAACAGTTTTGGTAATCCCGCACCTCCTCCTAACTTCCAAACTACGAATTCTCTGCATTATATTCACACCACACATTGCCCTCAGACATGACATCTCCACTGCCTCCAGCCTTCTCCTCGCTGCAACATTCATCACCCACGCTTCACACCCATATAAGGCGTTGGTAAAACTATACTCTCATACATTCCCCTCTTTGCCTCCAAGGACAAAGTTCTTTGTCTCCACAGACTCCTAAGTGCACCACTCACTCTTTTTCCCTCATCAATTCTATGATTCACCTCATCTTTCATAGACCCATCCGCTGACACGTCCACTCCCAAATATCTGAATACGTTCACCTCCTCCATACTCTCTCCCTCCAATCTGATATTCAATCTTTCATCACCTAATCTTTTTGTTATCCTCATAACCTTACTCTTTCCTGTATTCACCTTTAATTTTCTTCTTTTGCACACCCTACCAAATTCATCCACCAATCTCTGCAACTTCTCTTCAGAATCTCCCAAGAGCACAGTGTCATCAGCAAAGAGCAGCTGTGACAACTCCCACTTTGTGTGTGATTCTTTATCTTTTAACTCCACGCCTCTTGCCAAGACCCTCGCATTTACTTCTCTTACAACCCCATCTATAAATATATTAAACAACCACGGTGACATCACACATCCTTGTCTAAGGCCTACTTTTACTGGGAAAAAATTTCCCTCTTTCCTACATACTCTAACTTGAGCCTCACTATCCTCGTAAAAACTCTTCACTGCTTTCAGTAACCTACCTCCTACACCATACACTTGCAACATCTGCCACATTGCCCCCCTATCCACCCTGTCATACGCCTTTTCCAAATCCATAAATGCCACAAAGACCTCTTTAGCCTTATCTAAATACTGTTCACTTATATGTTTCACTGTAAACACCTGGTCCACACACCCCCTACCTTTCCTAAAGCCTCCTTGTTCATCTGCTATCCTATTCTCCGTCTTACTCTTAATTCTTTCAATTATAACTCTACCATACACTTTACCAGGTACACTCAACAGACTTATCCCCCTATAATTTTTGCACTCTCTTTTATCCCCTTTGCCTTTATACAAAGGAACTATGCATGCTCTCTGCCAATCCCTAGGTACCTTACCCTCTTCCATACATTTATTAAATAATTGCACCAACCACTCCAAAACTATATCCCCACCTGCTTTTAACATTTCTATCTTTATCCCATCAATCCCGGCTGCCTTACCCCCTTTCATTTTACCTACTGCCTCACGAACTTCCCCCACACTCACAACTGGCTCTTCCTCACTCCTACAAGATGTTATTCCTCCTTGCCCTATACACGAAATCACAGCTTCCCTATCTTCATCAACATTTAACAATTCCTCAAAATATTCCTTCCATCTTCCCAATACCTCTAACTCTCCATTTAATAACTCTCCTCTCCTATTTTTAACTGACAAATCCATTTGTTCTCTAGGCTTTCTTAACTTGTTAATCTCACTCCAAAACTTTTTCTTATTTTCAACAAAATTTGTTGATAACATCTCACCCACTCTCTCATTTGCTCTCTTTTTACATTGCTTCACCACTCTCTTAACTTCTCTCTTTTTCTCCATATACTCTTCCCTCCTTGCATCACTTCTACTTTGTAAAAACTTCTCATATGCTAACTTTTTCTCCCTTACTACTTCTCTTACATCATCATTCCACCAATCGCTCCTCTTCCCTCCTGCACCCACTTTCCTGTAACCACAAACTTCTGCTGAACACTCTAACACTACATTTTTAAACCTACCCCATACCTCTTCGACCCCATTGCCTATGCTCTCATTAGCCCATCTATCCTCCAATAGCTTTTTATATCTTACCCAAAACTGCCTCCTCTTTTAGTTATAAACCTTCACCTCTCTCTTCCCTGATGCTTCTATTCTCCTTGTATCCCATCTACCTTTTACTCTCAGTGTAGCTACAACTAGAAAGTGATCTGATATATCTGTGGCCCCTCTATAAAACATGTACATCCTGAAGTCTACTCAACAGTCTTTTATCTACCAATACATAATCCAACAAACTACTGTCATTTCGCCCTACATCATATCGTGTATACTTATTTATCCTCTTTTTCTTAAAATATGTATTACCTATAACTAAACCCCTTTCTATACAAAGTTCAATCAAAGGGCTCCCCTTATCATTTACACCTGGCACCCCAAACTTACCTACCACACCCTCTCTAAAAGTTTCTCCTACTTTAGCATTCAAGTCCCCTACCACAATTACTCTCTCACTTGGTTCAAAGGCTCCTATACATTCACTTAACATCTCCCAAAATCTCTCTCTCTCCTCTGCATTCCTCTCTTCTCCAGGTGCATACACGCTTATTATGACCCACTTCTCGCATCCAACCTTTACTTTAATCCACATAATTCTTGAATTTACACATTCATATTCTCTTTTCTCCTTCCATAACTGATCATTTAACATTACTGCTACCCCTTCCTTTGCTCTAACTCTCTCAGATACTCCAGATTTAATCCCATTTATTTCCCCCCCACTGAAACTCTCCTACCCCCTTCAGCTTTGTTTCGCTTAGGGCCAGGACATCCAACTTCTTTTCATTCATAACATCAGCAATCATCTGTTTCTTGTCATCCGCACTACATCCACGCACATTTAAGCAACCCATTTTTTATAAAGTTTTTCTTCTTCTCTTTTTTAGTAATTGTATACAGGAGAAGGGGTTACTAGCCCATTGCTCCCGGCATTTTAGTCGCCTCATACGACACGCATGGCTTACGGAGGAAAGATTCTTTTCCACTTCCCCATGGACAATAGAAGAAATAAAAAAGAACAAGAGCTATTAGAAAAAGGAGAAAAACCTAGATGTATGTATATATATATATGCATGTGCGTGTCTGTGAAGTGTGACCAAAGTGTAATAGGAGTAGCAAGATATCCCTGTTATCTTAGCGTGTTTATGAGACAGAAAAAGAAACCAGCAATCCTACCATCATGCAAAACAGTTACAGGTTTTTGTTTCACAGTCATCTGGCAGGACGGTAGTACTTCCCTGGGTGGTTGCTGTCTACCAACCTACTACCTATATATATTATATATATATATATATATATATATATAATATATATATATATTTTATATATATATATATTATATATATATATATAATATATATATATATATATATATATTATATATATATATATATATATTATATATATATATATATATATATATAATATAGTATATATATATATATATATATAATGTATGCAAACAATCGCAGACGGGCGATCTAAACTATGCAGGACAAGCCACAGGGATTTCCCCCCCCCCGTGGCTTGTCCTGTGTATATACATATATATATATATATAAAATATATATATATATATATATATATATATATTATATATATATATATATATATATATATATATCTGATATATGTTGCCTTTTTCGATGGATACATAACACCTGTTTAAATGATCTGAGCCACAGTTTTTATCGGCACAGATACATCACAGGCTGGATTATACTTATTATAAGTGATGAAAAGCGCTGTACCTGTGGGGTCATTCAGTGTTGATGCCAGAGAGGGGGAGGAGTGGAGGGAGGGGGAGAGAGGGGGAAGGGTAAGAAGGGAGGCTGACTGACACACTACATAATATAACAGGGAACACCTATTACACTAATCTGCTTCTCGTACGAAAAATGTAGCATAAATGCATTCCAGTATTTTAATCATCGTTACGAGTTAATATATACGCAAACAAAACAAGAAATAACTCCAGTATCAACAATTACTTAATGTGTTAAGAGAATATCTTGACGATTAAGAAACGCAAAAGAAACTACGAATTATTCATTATTTATGAGGAGATTAACTAAATATCAAAATTTGTTTTCAGACAGGAGATTAAAAAAAATTGTAGTATCAAGGGGAGCGCTAAACCCGTGGGGATTATATAGCGCTTGTGGGGGTGGGGGGATGGAAGGCATTCAGGCTAAATTCAGGGAATTGGAACACAGATCCAATTCCCTAGATCAAGAGCCTCCTCATCAAGGATCCTCCCTTGAAGGGATTGGGGAGGGGGAGGTTAAACCGTAGTGAAAAATATTTTATGCCAAACACTAGCAGAATTTTGTTTAAGCTAAACACTAGTAGATTACTATTTAGGCCAAAAACTAGTGGAAATTTTAATCTAAACCCTAGCAGAAACATTTTACGACGCAATTTTGTTAGGAAAAGTATAGCCAAACACTTACCGAAGCTCTCTGAGCCAGGGACGTCAGCACAAGCCTGGTGTCGGAAGAGCAGCCTGGAGTCCTCAGCACAGGAATCCACCTGCAAGAAGAGTGCACGAGAGGGCTTAGTTTGACCAAGTATTAAGTGTGAAGCCGCAAATAAATTATCAAATGTTATGATACTGAAAATGGAATTTGTTACTGTAAGGCGAAAATGAAATGTTACTTTTCAGAGTAGCGAGATTATTTTTAAGGGGAGAGAAATTTACTGACACTAAAGTGAGCGAGTGAGTTTATTCGATGAAATACATATCTATAATGGTCATACTAAAGGACAAACTTATTTTGGATACTTTGTCTTGGCCGCTTTTTTTTATTATTTATGGTTCCATATTTTAGGTCTATACTTAGATTTAAAAACAGAACTGCAGCAGGTCTACTGGGCCCATACTAGACAGCAACAGTGGTGGAATTACCGGCAAAATATTAGGTAAAAGGACATAGATGCAACTAATATGACATTTTATTGTGACAACCTTTCACTCTCCAGGAGCATTGTCAAGCTGGCTTGATAATATATACATGGATGATACTTGAGGGTCTGGTTCCAAACATACACAATACCATAACACATTAGAGTGAGAGATATGGAAGTGTAAAATACCCAGTGAAAGGCACTGGCCCCAGGGACCCTGATAAATTAACTTTCTACCAGAAGATATCAGAAACACTGCCGGAACCAGTATAGAAATCTTTAAGAGGAAACAACATTAGCCTGATTGACCAGGCAAGCACCAGACTGCTGGGGTAGGGATTGACCCTTTCTCATGGATATAATAATTGTGCAGTATATTAAATAGATTTAATGTGCTGAAAATACGCTTGTGCTCGCCTCACCTAGAAATTACCAAAGATTTCATAGTTATGCCTTTAAGTGGGACCTTGAACAGCTTTACCAAGCAGTTGCTGATAGCCTGGAGGTGGTGCTTACGTTGGAGTGCATGCTGCTAGAACAAATAACCGGGCTGACTGCGCCATCAGTCAGGAGATCTAGGCCGGGTTGCAGGGGCGATGTCAAACAGGAAGTAAACAGGCTGACATTGTACCACAACATAACCATCCCTTCATCATTCAACTCAACTTACCTATCTCCTCCCTTCTTTCCTCTTTACCTCCCTCGTTCCATCTCCCATCACACTCTCTTTCCCTCTTCCATCTCTCTCCAATCCCATGATCTTCCACTTTCCAAACGCAAACATCATCTTTGTATCCGTCTGTAAACAACAACATCGCGCTTCCCGAATTTCTTTTTACAAGACCAAAGACATGATTACCAGGTAATGGAGGGATGGGAGAGGAGGAGGAGGAGGCTACATCTTGGTTATGGGTGTTGATGGGAAGGGGCATGGGGGCAAAATTAACAAATAACGCCGCCATAACGACCGTAATTGAGTTCGTAAAATAAGTATCTTCACGTAGCCCACGTTACCCAAAACAGCAAACATGTCACGACTTGCCTGGGAAGAGACACAGGGAGAGAATTGAAAGAAAGGGAATTGATGGGGAGGAATTACCTTTACCTTTAATATACCCTTGATGCGTTTTAAGATTTTTTCTATATCCGGTGCTCGGCCCTGGCAGGTGAGTCATTTGACCTGTACTCCCTGGAGCGTAGGCGAGAGAGATGCATCATAATCTACACCTGGAAAATCCTAGAGGGACTGGTTCCTAATTTGCACACAGACATCGCTCCTTATGAATGCAAAAGACTAAGCAGACGGTGCAACATGCCCGCAATTAAAAGCAGGGGTGCCTTGAGTATACTAGGAGAAAATAAAGTGTCCGGGGCCTAAGACTTTCCAACAGCCTCCCACCAGGCATAAGAGGAATTACTAATCAGACCCCTGGCTGCCTTAAAGAGGGAACTGGACAGATACACCAAGTCAGCGTCCGATCAGCCGGGCTGTGGCTCGTACGTTGGACTACGTGCGGCGAGCAATAACAGCCAAGTTGATCAGGCCGTGATCCACCACGAAGCCTGGTTATGGACCGGCCCGCGGGGGTGTGGATCCCCGGAATGCCCTCCAGGTATGTGTGAGAAGGTAAAGTGCCACTACTGACTATAGGTGCATCTAGCATGCTTACATCCTTTAATTGCTTAAACTCGCCTAAGGTGATGCTCTCCTGCTGCTATATGTTCGCAGAATTGCACCTTATAAAGCCTGTCCACATTGGTTCATGTGGGCCACCAGCAGCAACAGTCTTGTGGCCAGGTAAGCACCAGAGGAGCCTGGCCATGGCCGGGCTCAGGGAGTAGAAAAACTCTCGGAACTCATCAAAGGTAAATGATTTAATATTCTAAAACATTATCTTGAAACAAATTTAACACAGTCGTCTCCAACCAAGGCAGGGACGACCCCCCCCCCCAAAAAAAAAAAAAGACGAAGCACATTCACCGTCATTTACTCAGTCGAAAAGAAAGAGAAATTTTATACATATAATACTAATTCAATTGTTCTGCCAGAAGTGTGCTGACATCACATTTCAGATATACTTTAAGATCCTTTAATTGAATTTACCTACTCGTCTAATTTCATGTTATCACTGTAATCAATACCTGAGCCTTATTTGTGTCTCATATTTACACTTTCTTAAAATATAAAACTTCCCATTGTTTACATTTATCATTAGTCTACTTGAAACAATACATTCTTTTATGCAGCGTTCAACTTCCCTGCCATTTTTCTAACAACTTTCAGCTTCATAGTTTTTAAATTTCTTTGTTGATGAGTATTTATGTACAAAACCGTTTCGAGGATTAGATTCAGTTTGCGTTATATTAGATGAGATTCTGACAGTAGGTGAATTGGCTGACATTCATTATTTTTTTTTAATATGGTGGTTCAGTGTTACAGCATCAGCCTGAGTTAACTAGACAGGATGTCCGTTCGCCCTGGCGAGGTATCGGTGATTGTCAGCAAATAAAAAAAACTCATGAACAATCAAGTTTACCCGCTTGTAATATACGGTTGTGTTGCTTTAAAACCCGGGAGGCAATAAAATAACAGTACAACTGAACCCGAATGAGTTTAGGAAATGGGTGAATAAACGGAAATACAGTTCCTATTGCTTTTGCGATGCTGTGGCTCAGCGATACTCGTTTAGCCTGGTGTTTACTAGACAGAATTATCCCGAGCTGTGGGCTCTGTGACCAGGGATACGCTATATAAAGCTGAAGCAAATTCTAATAGAATATATACTGTAGGTAATTCCGGCCTATGGAATATTCTCACAGCCTCCACAACATGACCAGCTGAAACTGTGGCCCCACAAACCGTTAGGTTGGGATAACCTCATCATGGAAGATATCTGCAGCTACAAGAGAATACGCAAGATCCCCAAAGTTCAACTGCCTTGCAGTTGTGAGTGTACATCACTCTGGTGATATTCTCCTAACAATTCCCATCTCTCTAACTGCCACACTTCTCGACCCACTGACACTGTATTCACACTAGAAAAGAAAAATTCTTCGATATTTTTAAGACTGTCACAACAAATGGGAACAGAATATTCAAAGAAATATATATAAACGAGATATATGATGTTCCGCAACAGTTATTTAGCATTTTTATTGTTGTGAAACATGCAAGTAGGGAACAGGATGAAGTTGGACCCATCTGTGAGTCAGCATTTTCATTTGATCAACTGATTTTATCTCGTTGACATCATAATGCTGTACGAATGTGTTCCATACTCGTCATCCTGGGGATAAATGATGTCAGATGAAGTGATGTTCTGGAGAAGGGTACAGCCAGAGTGAAGTTGCTGCTTTCTGCCCGTCTTGTGGTGTAGAAGCTTGCCTCACGCTGTCCTCGAAGTGGATCCAAGTGTGGTACTTTGAAAATATTGCCTTATACATAACAGTAAGGCCACCCACATCCCTCCTGTGTTTGAAGGCTCTGCTGAAATGACAGATCTATCCAGGATGGGTCCAGGCGAGAGATGAGACGTCTTGCTCTGTTCTCTACTGTCAAGCAGTCGCAGATGAGGGGGGGGGGGGAAGGCAAACCAAGAAAGTGGAGCATACTCAAGGTGTGAGCGTACTTATGCCTCATACAGAACCTTGCAACCCCTACTGTCAAGGTGATGCGAAATACGGCGAAGTGCTTTAAGCTTCCTGGCTGCGACATATACATATATATATACGTACCTACTCACCAGGTGCTTGTCAAACCCAAAACTTACCTACTTTCTGAGATGCTCCCAAGCCTTCAGCAGTCCGAAACTCATGGAATATGACTCCTTAAGACCATGCTAGAAAGAGTATTGAATCTTTCCCTCGAAAATGGACAGTGTGGTTGCAAGCCTCACTTTCAGTCAGGCTTGGGGGGCTGGGAGTATGTATGCAGATCCTCCCAGAGTACCCTACCAGCTTTCCTATCCTCTTTCATAGCATCAAACGAAGGAATACAGGACCCTAACTATGCCAGTGCCATCACTGAATAGGAGACTCTTGCTGCTCCAGCACCAACCCCTAGTGCGGCACTGGCCTACAGTCATGCTGGGATGGCCCCATCGCTGAAAAGGTGCTTGCCAATATGCTCAGGGTTGTAACATCAGACAGGGAGGACTGCCCGTCTTCAAGCTGTGAGCACACAACACTCTGGGGACTTCCTCCAAACAGTTCCCATTTCGGCAATGGGAATGCGCCTCGACCCTAAAACCCTTGTACTGCAGTGGCTCTGCGCCTTGCTGCCCCAATTCACACGGAATATACGTGTATTTGCGGTGATGTGCAAGCCGACCAATATGGTCTACATGGTCTTAACTGTTCCAAAACCAAGACACAATGAGGTCAACGACATCATAAAGAGAACCTTTGCTACAGCTGGATGCCCAGCCGAGAGGGAACCCCGATCACTAGCAGCCAACAATACCCACAACCCAGCAAACCGCCCTGATGGGATTACCATTTATCCTTGGAAGAATGGCAAGCTCTTAGCATGGGACTATACCTGTGTGTCCACACTGGCTGACACCTACATCCATCACAGTGTGGGGCGACAGGGAGGAGCTGCTGACCACAGGGAGGAGTACAAG